ACTCCTGAACAGATGGGGTGGCTGGGCACAGCCAGGGGATGGGCGCACGCCCGGGAGCTGGAGCCTCCCTCTACTCCAGCGTGACCTGGCCAGCCGGGGCGGTCGCACAGTGATTCCACGCCCTTAAGGAACTGGGGAGACGCCTAGGCAGGCACATCTCCTTGGGGCCCCGTCCATACGGCCTGAGGAGCCCCGTGTTCGCGACGGCTCGGCTGGGTTCCTAGCGTCGGTGCTGGGCTGTCAGGGGTCTTGGCTGTCCGTGCAGCTCACCCCGGGAGCGGCCCCTCCTAGGCCGGGCCACGGTGACTGTTTGCAGGTTAGGTCTCGTGGGACACGCTCACGGAAAGCTTTCACGCGAGGACAACCGATGGACACACTCGTGTTTGAAAATTTGCCCCGAGAAATGTCGGGTTGGCAGTGGGACCAGCCCGGCCGGGAAGGAGAGAACGGGCTGAGCTGGGCTCTCGGGGCTCGGTCAGAGGCCCTCGGTTCGTGCTCATCGCCCTCTCCGGCTCCTCAGAACCGGGTATAGGGCTGGGCAGGGCTGGGGCTCAGAGGCCACGGTTCAGGAGTCTGAGCGTGAAGGCCGGGCCGGGAGACCAGGACGGAGGGAGCTGTCTCAGCACCGGCCACGGAGGGAGGGAGTGCTGGCCCGTGGGGAGAGCGCACGGAGGGCCCACCACGCGCCGCGCGGATTGTCTGAGGGACCACCATCACCCCGCCTTCCTCGGCGATGGCACAGCTCCGGCGGCACGGTCCCGGGGGCGCGGTCCCGGCGGCGGCCTCGGAATGGCGGCTGCTCTGTTCCAGGCCACAGCGACCGATGGTCTTCGCCTCTCGTGTCCCGTCTCAGGGACCCACCTTGAGCTCAGCACTTTGCAGCTGCACCCCAGGCACCTCCCCCTGGCGCTTACGGACAAGGCTGCCCGAGCTGCTGCATCTGCCTCTTCTGTCTCCGAGACGCCGCTGAGATCATGCCCACTCCCACAAGCCTCTGACACGTAGAGACCATAGGGTGAAGAATATGCTATCGCAGGCAGATAAAAAACGGAAAGTTTAAGCAAAAAGGAATCCAAAGTAGCAGCCCACACCGGGCAGGAAGCCCGCTGGAACTGCTGCCGCTGCAGCCGGAGGCGCCGGCGGGACATGGGCGACGCTGGCGGGCACTCCTGTGGTCGGGGGGGGGGGGGGCTGTCAGAGGGAGAAAGGAAGCGGGAATCCGGGATGTTAACTCGGGTTGAAGCTGCTGAGCGTGGCCAGGCAAGCACGGCCGACCACGGGACGCCCACGCAGTGTGCTCGAGCCCGTGCGGCGTGTGGCTGGCTCCACCAGAACTGCTGTCGTCCGGGCGCCAGGAGGTGAAAGCTGAGCGAGGAGCTCAAGCGAAAGGGGAGCCCCCAGCATGGCCCATCCGAGCCACATCTTCGTGTCACACCCTCTGCCACGTCCCGGGACCTCTGCCGAGGGCATCGTCAGTCGTGGCCCCTGGAGACAGTGGCCGCGAGCCCCAGGCGGCCGGGAGGGCACCTGCGGCCCGCCCCGTGGCCTGAGCGGGGCACGTCCTCACCCACACCCAGGGAGGGGGTGGGGGTCATGAGGCTCTTTTACCAAATGCCACTCAGTAGGCTTTCCTTTCCCGTGAGAAAAGCAAACTGTGGAACGGTTTTGTTTTGAAATTCAAAAGCTGCCTCTTCCAATGTAGCCGGGACGCCACACACTGGGACACTCCTGGCTCCGCAGGGGAAGGTCGGCCCTCTGCTGCTCGGCTCACCCTGTCCCCAGGAGACCCCGAAAGCACCTGCCTCTCGGGGTTCAGGAAGCGGGGTCGATGGGGGTGGACCCCGGACTGAGGGAGCCTCAGCACAGCGAACCAGGAGGCCGTGCTGCTGTGCTCGCGCCTCCCGGGCGGGTCCCCCCGGCGTCCGCGCCTCCCGTTCTCTGCGGCCTTTCCTGGGCGGGAGATGGGAACAGGCGAGGGACGGCAGCACCCGGGCCACATGGAAAGAGATGCCGGTTTTATTGCCAAACGAGTTAAGAACAGGCAGGTGCCCAGCAATTTCTGTCCAAATTATCCCTGTAGACTCACAGCTCGGCTTTTTACTCTGAAAGCTGTAATTACTTTATAACTTTCTGAAAATGCATCCCCTTGGCATCTGTCTCCAGTGCTGGGTCTGTGAGATGAGGTTCTGTGGCAGCGTGGCCGCGGGGAGAGCTGTGGCTGCCGCAGGCCTCGCACCGGGACGTGGTGTCCGCGTTCCCCCCAGCGTGGGAGCTGGGCTCCAAGGACCCGCTCAGCGAGTCCCCAGAGCACCCCCGTCTCTCTTCTGGGGCCCCTTCTTGTCCGGGGCCCTTCCCACAGCTCCGAGCGCACCTGTGGCCGGAGGGCAGTGCGGGAGGGTGCTCCAGCTGGAGTTGGTGGCCTGCGGGAGCAGCCCCCCAGGCATGCGTCTGGGACTTGCGACCTCTGTGCTGCTCGAGGCAGAGAAGCAGGAACTGGTCTGGGGGTCACTCCCAGCCGGGTCCTGGCAGTCGGGGTCCACGGTCTGTGCGTCCTCCCTGGTGCCTGGCCGGGCCTGGGCTTCGACGAAGGACGGTGCTCCCACACCCTTCCCTCTGCAGGACTGCCGGACATGGAGTGGTGTTCTCCCCTCCTCTCCATGGACTCCCCGTTTTCCTGCTCCGTTAGATACAGTCGGCATGCAGCGTTGTGTGAGTCTCAGGTCACACCCTCTTTCAGCCCCGGAAGAATCCCCTGTGAAGCCTGTGGACGAGGGGCTTTGAACAGCGGTGGACGTGGAATAGTCAGTGTGACGTTCCCTGTCCAGCAGCACTGATCCCCCGGGAGCGGGCAGCTTGACCCTGCTGGGGGCTGCCAGGGCAGAGCCGGGTCCACACCCGCAGACGGAGCACCAGGGTCAAATCTTCGCCACCAATCCCCCGCGTTAGCCTGGTCCGCACCCTCCCCTCCGGTAACCCCACGGGGGGTCTGCGTTTCTGTCTGTTCGCTTGTCTTGTTGGCTTTGTTGCTTTCAGGTTCATGTTCCGCCTGTGAGGGACCCCAGGCGGGTCTCGGCCTTCCTGTCCGACGTCTTTCAGGAGCGATGCTCCCGCCGTCCCTGCTCTCTGCTCTGCAGCGTTCCGCCTCTGGCGGCGGAGTGGGATCCCACTGTGCTGTGCACACACATTACTACGCAGTGTGTTCCTGAAACCACATAAAATGGAAAGTAGCTCCATCTTCTTACACAGGGAAAATTGTGTGTTTTGGTCCAACCAAGGACGACAAGACGATTCCACAGGCAGGAAACACTCCGCTGGACGTCCCTATAATAAACAGCTGGACAGTGAACAGTCCCTGAAACTAAGCGCAGTCAACGCTTTATTGTGCCAGCATTTCCCCTTTCTACGGTCCCGCATCCCCTCTCTGGGAACTTGGTTCTCCGCAGCCAGGCGGCTCTTCAGCCCGAAGCCACTGCCCAGACCAGCCCTCGGGACACCACGGCTGGGCCAGGCCGGCTCCTGGGATCTGTGGCATGTTCACGGGGTGGGGTATGGTGGGGCGGGGTGGGGAGGGGGCGACGGCAAACCTCCCATTGGGGTATTCCCTTCCTGCCCTCCTCCCCCTGGGTGGAAACTTCTTTTTTAAAAAAGGAAGAGAGATCCATTTCTGTAAAACCTTTTACAGTTTATTTTCTGCTGTTCATCGTTAAAGTATAAAATGAGGCTCCGGCTAAGCCCAGGGTCCGTGGCGAAGCGCTGACCATGTGAACAAATAAATAAACATTTACAGTCTTTGGCAAAACAAGCGAAGTCTCATCAGTCTGTACGAGAAAATTAAAAAAAAAAAAAACACATAAATAATTTACAAAAAATATGGTACATTCTAATATTCACATCATCCCACAGCCTTCCGCAAACACCGCCCCACGGCAGGCCACACACCCCCCCCAGTCACGTCTGCCCCTGTTGTCGTGGGAACAGAAGTCCACAAAAAAGTGAGAAGTGCAGCAGAGTATAGAAAGCCAGCCCCAGAGGAAGCAGCAAACAGACTTTACCAGTGAAACGTGAGGTGAGGCAAGCGCTCGGGGGCTCGAGATCGGGCCTCGAAGGAAATGTGAGCAGAAAGGAAGGAGTTGCCCCGTCGGACAAGACCAGCTTCTCTGCTGAGACAACCCCTGCAGAAAGGTCACGCGGCTTCAAGCACCAACGAGCCCGGCCGGTGCCCGGTGCCAGACCTGCTGCCGAGTGAAGAGGATAGAGGACGGAGGAAGGTCGCATCAGAGCCACCAGCCACGCTCATCATCGTTTATTTATCTACCGCGTTTTACAGCATGTTGTTCTGACCACAGGAGTTACCGAGCCTCGGATTTTGACAGGAAGATCTGCTGTAACCACCTTGATGTTGTCATGTGCTAGTCAGGTGCTTCTGGACCTCGCCCGCCCGCGTATCCCCGACAGGTGTCAGGTGAGTCCTGTGATGGACTGCCTTCTGTCTTCTTTCAGGAAATGCAGGCACAGCATGTGTCTGGACCTCAGTGAAACTCATCACCCATCAGATGCAGGCAACTCTGCCATGGTTTCAGAGCCTCGACTGGGAGTCAGACCGGTGGACACTGCCCATCTCTGCCTGCCTGGCCTCGGGGCAGAGGTGGGAGAGAAGCCAGGAGACTCTTGGTCAGACAAGGGCCAGGTGGCGTCTGGTGAGCTCTCCTGAGTCCTTGACAGCTCTAGCAGCCACGTGAGGGCCCCATGGGAGGGCACCCAGGCCCCACCCAACCCATGTGCCAGCCAGTGGGCAGGATGTTCCCTCCTGGGCAGACCCATCTCTGCCAAGGGGGCACTGTCACTGTAGGAAAGATTAGGGGAGGGGTTTGCCTTGCCCGGCCATGCCCCACTTCAGCCCTGAGGGAGCCTCTTCCGTGGGAACTAACGTGATGCGAGCGTGGACAGCCCCACAGGAGCAGCAGCAGCTGGGCGCGAGGCGTGTGGGATGTGCTGCCACCTCAGTGACGATAACGTCTCGCGCACAGGATGCCCTTCAGCTCCGTGTGCACGTAAGCACAGTCGGCAGCCACACTGTACACGCACCCGTCATTCTCTTTAAGCAAACAAGAAGCAATGCCACGGGGGCGACCACACCACGCAAAGTCTCGTGTGCCATCGCCCTTCCTGGCGGGCTGGGCGTCCATCTTTGGGCCCATTGGCATCTGCCCTCTGGAGGCACTTGGGCTTGGGGTTGAAGGAGGTGAAGAGCCGCTTGAAGTTAAGGTCAAGGTCAGAAGACGCTGCCAGAGAGAAGCCGGGGGCCAGCACGAGGAGGGGTCTAGTAACGGCATCTACAGTGCGTGCGGACGCGCGTCCAGTTCACACATCTAGAAAAACAGTCCGAGGTTAGGATGGCATTTGTCTCATCCATTTTCTTTTACCTAAAATGCCATTATTTTAATTTTAAAAAAAAAGACATCCATGTCCCACCAGCGTTGCTCAGGGGTTGAGTGCTGACCTATAAACCAGGAGGTCACAGTTGGATCAGGCACATGCTTGGGTTGCGGGCTCAATCCCCAGTGTGGGGCGTGCAGGAGGCAGCCGAGCCATGATTCTGTCTCATCATTGCTGTTTCTCTCTCTCTCTCTCCCTCCCTCTCTGACATCAGTAAAAGTACATTTTTAAAGAGACGTCCACACGCGACTGGACCGTGCATGGGTGCAGACCTGCGGGGAGGGCACCGATGTGCAGAAAGGCCACTGGCACCGGACAAGGAGCTGACCAGAGGCAGGAAGGTAAGTCAGCCCCTGCCTTCCTCGTCCTCAGCGTCTGTGTCACGTGTGTCTGAGCAGCCGCTCTGAGCCTCCCTTGCCTCGTGGCGCAAGCGGTGTTTTCTGGCCCACAGGAAGGCGTTCGGCCCGGCGGGAGCAGGTTCCCTCCAGGTCAGTAATGATTTGAGTCAAATGCCCTTGTAAAAAGAGCACCGAGCCTCCTCCCTGCCTCCCCTCCTCCCTCTTGCGGTCTCTCCCTCCCTCTCGCTCTCGCTCGCTCTCTGCCTTTCACAGGGCAGTGCTGTGAAGTCCCATTAGGGGCCTGGAGGTTAGAAAGCACCGACGTGTGGTGGGTGCCACGGATGGGTGAGACGTGTGGTGGGTGCCACGGATGGGTGGGGCTGTGAGCATTTGCGCAGTGTATGGCCTCCACATTCCACTTAAACTGTTACAACAGCTCGAGCTGAGCAACCAGCATCTGCCAGGCAGGCCGAGCCCTCGCTCACGCCACAGCCTCGTGTCAGCCGCCCCGGTGCCCCCGCCTGCCTCCGCCTGGCCGTCCACACCCACCTCTGCACTCGTACTTCAGGTCCGAGAAATAGACCATTTCTTGAGAGAAGACAAACAGGCCGAGCCGCCCGCCCGCGAAGGTTTGGTCGTAGATGGGTCCCGAGTCCGCCATGACCTGCTTCCCTTCGTGCACCAAGACCCTGCGGGCGGGCGGGGAGGAATGAGCTCCACGGAGGGCTCCCGGAGGAAACTGCTAGCTCCTGGCCGTGCCCCAGCTGCGATTCGGCCTCACCCCCATCTCATCCCCATCCCCATCCCCTCCCTGCACGCCCCCTCATGCCGCAGTCTCTGACCCAGAGCAGGCAGGTGGCCACGTCTCTGCCTTTCAGAACCTAAGACGGTCTGTAGTGAGCAGCACATCCTTCTGTCCCTCAGGAGCGGCTCACCTTATGTAGCCCTCCAGGGCCTGAGGTTGGGGGGGCAGGACTCACCTATGCAGCCCCTCCAGGGCCTGAGGTGGAGGGAGGGGGGCGGGGGACTCACCTAATGTAGCCTCTCCGGGGCCTGAGGTTGGGGGGGCGGGACTCACCTATGTAGCCCCTCCGGGGCCTGAGGTGGGGGGCAGGGGCGGGGACTCACCTAATGTAGCCTGTCCGGGGCCTGTGTGTCAGGTGCCACCGGTAGGCAGTGTAGTCCTTCCAGCCAATGTTTTTGGGGTCGTGCCACAGCGTCCGCACCTGAGGGAACATCGCCCCGAGTCCTGAGTGCAGTCACAACAGCAAATGGGAATGGGGACATTGCTCTGCATTCCAACCCCGAGAACACACCCGTGCACTAAACTCCAGGGCGGACGAGGAGTTCCCGACAGGACCAGGATGTTCAGCGCTAAGAGCACTGCCCTTAGCTGGGTCACGGAACCAAGACCCTCCACGCCCTGAGCCGGGACCGTGGGAGAAACACTCCTTTTAAACATCTCCTGTCCAGCTGGCCAGAGAATCGCCCGCCATGTGTACAAAGTGCCCACGCGGCCTGTGACTGGGGAGGCTCGGTAAGGGCTCCGTTGCTGTCGCCGGGCTACGGACAGAGAGAAGGGTGCCCTCGGCGGGCCGCCCTACCTGCCCCGCCGTGTTCCCCGTGTGCCACAGCGCGTTCCGCAGGTGCTCGCCGGTGCCGGTGGTGGAGTTGACCACCTTGAGGGACACGCCCGAGTAGCCGTAGGCGCGGGTGGGCTGGTCCTCCCAGTAGGTCTGGGTCACCTGCTTCCACATGACCACGTAGAAGCGGCTGCTGGACTGGTAGCCGAAGACGAAGCCCGCGTAGTCGTCGTCCCGGTCCGTGTTCACGTAGAAGGTGCCGCTGAAGTCCACCGGCCCAAACTCGTCGAAGCCTGTGCGAGGGGCAGGCAGAGGTCAGCCGGGCCGGCGCCTGGCCGCCTTCCCACCGGGCTCCGCCGCCAGCTGTGCCGCCCCACGGGCTCTGGCCCTGGTGCGAGCACACGCACGGGTTCCTCCTGCAGACCCTACGGGCCACACACAGACGCCACGTCAGGGTCCTGAACAGCAGGGCAAGTGGCTTCCCGGAGACAGCCTTTCGGAGGCGAGGGCGAGGCGAGGGCCAGCTCTAAGCTGCGGGGCTGGGCCGTGGGGCAGGGCCACGGGGACCCCCGAGTCCCCCGGGGCTGTAAGGAGCAGCGTGGACCCGAGGCGCAGATGGGAGGGCGCGCCGAGGCTCACCCACGGCGATGCCGGGGTCCGAGTTGGCCGTCTGCACCAGCTCCTTGCCCTGGTGGCGGATGACCCAGTTGGGGTCGATCTGCGTGGTGCCCTTGGGGTCCAGGTGCACCATCTGGAAGTTCCGGAAGTCGGTCTCGCTGATGGCGCTGTTCTCGGGACACACGTCGTCGATGTCGGGGACGCTGTCGTTGTCGAAGTCGTCCTTGCAGGCGTCGCCCCGCCCGTCACCTGCGGAGGAGGAGAGGAGCGTGAGGCGGGGCCCGCCCGCGGCCCGCCCGCGCGGGAGCGGCGCTCGCCCGGAGCCGTGCGGGCGCCCACGGGCGCGCACCGTCGGCGTCCTCCTGGGCGGGGTTGGAGACCAGCCGGCAGTTGTCCCGGTCGTCGGGCACCCCGTCGTTGTCGTCGTCCGAGTCGCAGGCGTCGCCGCGGCCGTCGCCGTCGTGGTCGGCCTGGTTGGCGTTGGCGATGTAGGGGCAGTTGTCCTGGTTGTTCTGGTGGCCGTCCTCGTCGATGTCCTCGTTGTCGTCGCACTGGTCGCCCACCAGGTCGTTGTCCACGTCGAGCTGGGCACAGAGACCGCCGTGAGGGCCCCGGGAGCGCCCGGTCTGCGGCAGGAGCGGCTCCTGAGACCACGCCGCTGTCCACGCCGCCCGGCGGGGCCGGGTCTCCTTCCCGCTCTCTCCGCGGGCCCCTCCGTAGGGAGACAGGAAGCTTCCGGAACGAAGCCCTTTCTGACATGGGCCGCGGTCACACACAGGTGGGCAACGGCAGGTTTACCGTTGTTCGTATGGGAAATAACACGGCAATAAATAATAACGCAAGAATAGCCCTGGCTGGTGGCTCAGTGGTTAGCATGCCAGCCCATGGACCAAAGGGTCGCAGGTTCGATTCCTGGTCGAGGGCACATACCTCAGTTGTGGGTTTACTCCTTGCCCCAAGTCGGGGCCCATGTGGGAGGCAACCAGAAGATGTGTCTTTCTCATGTCAATGTTCTGGTCTCTCTCTCCCTTCCACTCCCTCTAAAAGTCAATGGAAGAATATCCTTGGGTGAGGATTAGAATAACAACAATAATATTGCAAAAATAACGGAGCACCTCTGCTCCATGTGCTCACAGCTGTAAACCCACAGCTGCCCGCCCTGCGTCCTGTGAGCTGCATACACGTTCCCACGTGTCTCCCGAGGCAGCTCTGGGAAAGCCAGCGCTGGCTGAGCCGGGGAAGTGCGTGCAGACAGTGTGATGGAGACACGAAGCCTCAGACCACACGGCGAAGCCTCAGTCCGTCCAGCCGTGGCCACTGAGGCGCGAGGGCCAAGCGTGGAGGTCAGCTCAGCACGTGTTCTGTGTCAGGCCTTGGCTGAGCTCAGGGACCCTCACAGGGACGTAGTGCATTGTGTCTGAGGCTGAGAGGCCACGCCCGCCCCCGCCCAACGCCCGCGGTCGCCCACCTGGTCGGGGTTGTGCACCAGGGGGCAGTTGTCGCAGTGGTCGCCCACGCCATCGCCGTCCGTGTCCCTCTGGTCCGTGTTGTAGACGTAGGGACAGTTGTCCCGCTCGTTGAAGACGTCTGCGGGGAGGGAGTGGCCCGTGGAGCAGAAGCACTGAGCTTCGTCACCGACCCCTGACAGCCCGGCTCCCGCTGGCGAGAGGACGCCTGGGGGGCATTCCCGGTGGCATTCGGGTTGCACCGGGTGGCCCCTGGCTGTGCCCGGTCGGCCTGTGAGTTGGCGGTGCTGTTCTCCGAATAGCCACTCAGGACGCGCCCCGGAGCACCGTCCCCACTGAGCGGGAAAGGAACGGGCACACGCGGGCTTTCAGCCACCACCTTCGCCCACAAAACTGAAACTGAAAACCGAGTCCATTGAGACGGGAGCTACGAAGAGACAGAGGTTCCAGTGACGAGGCAGCAAACACCCCAAACAAAGAGCCCAGGAAAAGCGTGAGACAGGCCTGGGGGGGGGGGGGGGTCACCAGATGCGGGGCAGCCGGAAAGGGCCAGAGGCTGCGCCCCGTCCACGGCCCGGACTGCGGGCGGACGAGAGCACTCAGGTGCCTCCTTGTCCCGGCCCGTGGGCGCGCGGAGCGGGTCCAGCAAACGAACAGATGCAGCCACCCTCACGCCGAGTCTCGCCGTGCGGTGCGGACGCGGACTGACCGTCGCCGTCGATGTCCACGGAGCAGGCGTCGCCCTCGCCGTTGTGGTCGGTGTCGATCTGGGCGGGGTTGTGCACGTGCGGGCAGTTGTCGCAGCGGTCGCCCACCTCGTCCTGGTCGTAGTCGAGCTGGCGCGGGTTGAAGAGGAGCTGGCAGTTGTCCTGCAGGGAAGGCGGGGGAGGAACTAGAGAAGCAGCCAGCAGACACACTGTCCAGCGCATCCGCACGGGCGTGGCCACCCAGCACACTCCTGACCTCAGACCGCCGCCCCTCGTGTGCACCTGCCTCTCTCTGGAGCAGAGAGGACAGCACACACTTCCTGGGGAAGGCAGGGGCGTGAATACGAGCGAGCTAATGAGTGAGTCTGGGCCAGCAGAAGGCAGGTGCACAAAGCTGGGAGGGAGCGCTGGGGCCGTCTGCCCTGCAGGTCCGGTTAGTGTGGGTGTAATGCCACACATCGCCACAGGGCATGTCGCGGTTTCTGCCACAGCCCCGCCCACCGCTGCGCCACCAACGAGAAGCAAGTTAAAAGGTGAGCCATGCTTGCAGCCGGGCGCCTGGCAGCTCCAGGCTCGGCCGTCCCTCCCTCGTCGGTGACGGTGACACAAGCAGGAGCCTGTGCAGTGTGAGGCTCCCGTCCCTGACCCCTCCCTCCACTCCTGACCCCGGCGCAGGGCTCCGGGGACACGGCCACCCACCTTCTCGTCGTTGACGCCATCGTTGTCATCATCCTCATCGCAGGCGTCGCCGACGCCATCCCTGTCAAAGTCCTCCTGCCCGGAGTTGGGCAGCAGGGGGCAGTTGTCCTGGGCCAGAGGAAGCACAGGTTAGGACCCCGGCCCTTCCTCCAGGAGGCGCAGTGACAGCGGGGACCGAGATGGAGCCTCACGCCTGTCGGCCTCGTGGGTGGGCCGCCCGGGAAACCGCGTCCCCGCCCTCGGAGCAGAGACCGCAGGAACGGCGCCTGAGCCCAGGACCCTGTGAAGCTGCCCAACGCCTGGGAGGGACAGCCGCTCTGAGAAAACATGGACGTGGACAGAGCCATACTGACCCTTCTCCTTCCCGTCAACGTCAGCTCATCCACCAGGAGGCCCCAGCTCCGCGGCGTCACCACGGGCCGGCCAGAGTCAGGGACCCTGTGGCTCGACGGCTCACAACCCAAGCTGCCCTGGGCCCGCCCTTCCCAGAGGCAGGGGCGTGCGTAATGCATCACGGCTCCAGTTTTATAAACATCACAGGCCAAGGCCGGGCTGTGCAGACAGCGACGGGAGGGGACAAAGCGCCCGAGAGGGCCGGGGACAGTCCCCCCAACGGGGGCCCGGCCTCGCCCTCACCTTGGTGCAGTGGTAGGTGGCGTTGGTGGCACAGACCAGGTTCTTGTTGGGCCAGCCGTCCAGGTCCGAGTCCTCCCCGCAGATGAGCCCGTCGCCCGCGTAGCCCGTCCGGCACTCGCACTTGTACATGGGGTCGCTGAAGTGGCCCAGGTAGATGCACTCGGCGTGCCGGTGGCAGTGGTGGGTCTTGTCCTGGCACGGGTTCTCGGGCTCACATACCTGGGGGAGGGCACGCTGGTGGGACCCTGGGAGCCCGGCCCCACCCTCGGGGTCCAGGCCACGTGCTCAGGACTGTGCGACCTTCCTGGAGCCTCCCTAGGGTGCCTCCGAGGGACAGGCGCTGGGGCTCTGCTCCTTCGGAGCCACCGGAGCATCGAGCGCTGCCGACACCTGCCAGAGCGGACGCCGGAGCTGCTGATGCAGGAAGACCTGAGAGCTGGTCCTCGTGGCCCTGTGGCCGCAGCTGGGCCCTGCCCCCCCGTGGGCAGCTCTCGAGGGCAGACAGTGGGTGTGGATCCATCTTGCCTGTCTCCCAGAACGCTGCCCTTCCCCCTTCTCCACCCTCCGTCTCCCCAGGTCCTGGCTGACGAGTCACCACAGGGCCGCGCCCTGATCACCTGCTTCCCCGTCTGCGCGGCCTCCAGGCCGACCCCGAAGGGCTGGGTTCCCTTGTAGCGCGGCGGGCAGGGCAGGCAGTGGAACCCGGGGTCGGTGTTGATGCAGCGCTGGGACTTGGTGCCCGTGGAGAAGCAGACGTCGGTGACCAGGGCACACTGTGGGGACAAGCAGGGGTGAGCCACCCGCCCGCCCGCCCCTGAGGTGCTCTCTGCCCTGCCCGGGCAGGCACCCACCTCGTCCAGGTCCTCGCAGTGGGTGCCGTTGCCCAGGAAGCCCACGGGGCAGGAGCCGCAGGACCAGGAGCCGTCGGGGAAGCTGTTGCACTGGGCGCCCGGGAAGCAGGGGTTGGACAGGCAGCCGTCTGCAGGGGAGCGGGCGGTCAGGCCCTGGTGGGGGTGGGGCAGCCGCGGAACCGGCCCAGGAGCCACTCGGACTCCTGCGCCCGGAGGCACCTGGCGGTCAGCACTGCAGCGTGGTTGTAGGGAAAGTGAGGGACAACGCGCTGGAGACGGGCAGTAAGGGGGTGACACACACGGTGGGGACACCGCGCATGGGGAGGGGGACAGGCGCCACGCAAGGGGTCCCAGCACAGATGCCTGCCGTCTAGCCCCCGAGCGCACGCTGAGCCGCGAAGCGGGTAAGCACGTGTGCAGCACAGGCTCCTTGCACGCGTGCAGCCTGCGCACACGGCTCGGCGTCTACAGAAACGCGAGTGCGGAGGCGCCTGACTCGGGGTCGGGCGCGGGGTCTGTGGCTGCGCCCGCTCTCCTGCGTTCTCTGCACCTCTTCCCTTTGGCCAGGACGAAGCCAGTGGTCACTCGGGCCGGCACGCACCTGCGGGGCAGCCCCGCTTGTTGCACATGTGCTGCTCCGTGCGCTCGCCCACGCAGGCCTTCCCGCCGTGCCGCGGCTCCGGGCTGTTGCAGACGCGCGTGCGCTCGCGGATGCCGCCGGCGCAGGTGACGGAGCAGGCGGACCACGGGGACCAGGGGCTCCAGCGGCCGTCGACTGCGGGAGAGCGGGGACGGGACGGTCACCCGGTGCCCTGCGGCCGGGCGGGCAGCCGTGATGCGGGTCTCGGACGCAGCAGAATGGTGAGAAGCCCTTTGGTGACCGAGGTCAGGGCCCCGGAGCAGAGGGTCTCGGGAGAGAAATCACAGCCCCTTTGGGTGTGGAGGGGGCGGGGCTGCGGGGGCCTCGGTCACGTGTGGAGAGGTGTGACGTTGAAGTTCAGTGCTGATCGCCCCACGCCTTTCTCTGCGTGACAGACACTGGGAGCCAGGCTCCCGGAGGAGGTCCTGGGGGCCCACATTCTCTGTCCTGGAGTCGCGCCCAGTGGCCGGCCGTGGCCGGCACCTCTTCTGGGCATCGGCTGCACCCATTCTGGTTCTGGTCCCTGCGCTGGTGCAGGCGAGGGCAGTGCCAAGCCCGGTGCTGGTCACCGACACCCAGGGCTGCCTCCAGGCCAGCCAGCGAGGGGACTGGCTCCTTCCACCTCCCGGGCCTGCCAAGCCCTGGTCCCAGCTGCCCCCACACGCCCTCCCCGCCCGCCTCGTCCCACTCACTCGGGCACGGGGCTCCCTGGCAGCCTTTCGTCTCCCGGCCGCTGCCTTTGCAGCCCCTGCCGCCCATCTGGGGCACCGGCGAGTTGCAGAGACGGATCCGTGTGATGTTGCCGACCCCACAGGTCACGGAGCAGGAGGACCATGGCGACCAGTGGCTCCAGCCGCCGTCCTGCCGGACTAGCACACGAGAGGCGTGGCGTCAGCAGCGGCCGTCGGCCTTGGGGGAGGGACCGGCGGAGCCCATGGACCCACCCCTCGGAGCAGGCCCGGCCCCGGGACTCACTGCGGTGGTCGCACTTGCCCAGGCTGCAGGCCCGCGTCTGGATGGAGGGCCCCAGGCAGGTGTTGCTGGTGACATCGCAGGACCTTCCTCTCTGCTGGGTGCCGGGCCCACAGGTGACGGAGCACTGGGTCCACTCCGCCCAGGGCGACCAGCCCTCCTCGCCGTCCGCCACTGGGAGGGAAACGAGCCGGTCAGGCCTCCCCGGGCGGCCCGGACAGAAGCCTTGGCCCTAAGTTGAGGCCTGGCAGACGCTGCTGATCCCTGGGCAGCGGGTGGACAGCGGGTGCAGCGCCCGGGCCCGTGCGGCCTGAGCTGCCCCGAGGGGACGGCGAGCGCCCGCACTCACGGGGGAAGCAGGACGGGCAGCAGTCCCCCTCCAGCAGCGACGGGTTGGCGCAGGTCACCGGCGGGCAGGAGATTTGGTGGCAGACGGTTTTAAATTTCTGCGAGGAGAGAAAGGCGGTGGTGCAGCCTCTCAGTAGTCAGCCCCGGGGCTGGCAGGGTGGAAAGGCCCCTCGAGTGGGCACAACAGTCTCCACCCCACAGACCCTCAGTCACCATCCCGGCGCCCAGAGCGGGCCCCTGGGCCCGCCTGCCTCCCCCAGAGCCACGGCCACGGAGACCGTCCGGCTGCGGGCGGACAGGCCTGCGGGGAGCTGGTGCTGTGTGACGTCCGAGGCACCATCCAGAGACAGTGACGGGAAACACGGAGGAGGCCCGGAGTGACCCCGGGCCAGGCTGTGGGCGGGGGCCGGCCGCCTGGTGTCTCGACTGAGCCTCCTGGCCCTCGCGGAGTGAGTGGGCCTCACCGGGCTAGAGGCCACCAGGCGGCTCTGTCCCCGTCGGTGGCCACTGGTGCCCTGGCGCCACCTCCCCCGGACTTCGCTTCCTTTACGCGCAGGGCAGGCGGCTGATGGGCGTTGTGCTGTGGCCGCCTCTTCCCCCGCCCGCGCACTGCCCCGCCCCCGACGGCTGCCGCTGCCGGCCGGGCCGGGGCTGAGGCGGCGGCGGCCTCACCTTGCAGGTGCAGCGGGTGCAGCTGTCCACCACCCACGTCTCGTTTTCCGCGAAGAAGCGGCCGTCCTGCCAGCACGCGGACATGTTCCTGGTCTTCGGGGGGCCGCCCATGAGCTCCCAGAGCACCTGGTTGTCGTCCGACTGGGAGCCGGGCGGGTGAGGGACAGACAGACGGGAGCACTCGGTGAGGGACGGACGGACGGACGGGAGCACTCGGTGAGGGACAGACGGACGGGAGCACTCAGTGAGGGATGGACGGACGGGAGCACTCGAGTTAGGGACGGACAGACGGGAGCACTCGGTGAGGGACGGACGGACGGGAGCACTCGGGTGAGGGACGGACAGACAGGAGCACTCGGGTTAGGGATGGACGGGAGCACTCAGGTGAGGGATGAACGGGAGCACTCGGGTGAGGGACGGACGGACGGGAGCACTCGGTGAGGGACGGACGGATGGGAGCACTCGGTGAGGGACCGACAGACGGACGGGAGCACTCGGTGAGGGACAGACGGACGGGAGCACTCAGTGAGGGATGGACGGACGGGAGCACTCGAGTTAGGGACGGACGGATGGGAGCACTCGGTGAGGGACGGACAGACGGGAGCACTCGGGTTAGGGACGGACAGACGGGAGCACTCGGTGAGGGACAGACAGACAGGAGCACTCGGTGAGGGACGGACGGACGGGAGCACTCGAGTTAGGGACGGACAGACGGGAGCACTTGGTGAGGGACGGACAGACGGGAGCACTTGGGTTAGGGACGGACGGGAGCACTCAGGTGAGGGATGGACGGGAGTACTCGGGTGAGGGATGGACGGACGGGAACACTCGGTGAGGGACGGACGGACGGGAGCACTCGGTGAGGGACGGACAGACGGGAGCACTCGGTGAGGGATGGACGGACGGGAGCACTCGGTGAGGGACGGACAGACGGGAGCACTCGGGTTAGGGACAGACGGGAGCACTCGGGTTAGGGACGGACAGATGGGAGCACTCGGTGAGGGACGGACGGACAGGAGCACTTGGTGGCCGTACTCCCTGTGAAAGGACCTCCCATGGCCCAGCCGAGCCAGCACCTCACAAGTGTCCCTTCACCTGACACGTGCTCACCACCCCACCCCACGCTCCTGGTGGAAGATTCCAGAAGGAGTCCTTGGTCTTGCTGTGCCCGTTCCCCTGACCCCGGGCAGCGGGACGGGCTCGGCCCTCGGCCGTGTGTGTGCTGGGGGGAGGGAGGCGGGGACGGTGTGGGGGGGGGAGGCGCCCCGGCACCCACCACTTTGCGGAGACTGTCGTGCAGCTGGCTGACGACGACGCGCAGCCCTGACAGCTCGTTGGCCATGCTGCCCAGCTCCTCGCAGGAGCGCTCGCACACACCCGGCCGCTGCGCCGGGCTCGGGCCCACGTAGGCCGTGGTGGCCGCCGGGCTCAGGTGCAGCGTCTCCGTGTTCTCGCTGATGGCGTTGGCCTCCGCTGCAGGGTGAGGGAGAGCCTGGTCGGAACCCCCGACCCGGGAGGACCGCCCCCTCCTGAGCCGCCCAGCAGGTCGGACAGCCGTGCTCCTGCGTGGGCAGCGCACTCGGTTCCCGGCACATTCCTGATTCCTCACAGGTTCTGCACATCCCGACAGCTCCCCCTCCGCAGCCGAGTGCCCTCCTCTTCGCTTGTCCTGTCCTGCTCAGGCTTCTCCTGCCTGCACACAGCGCCGTCTGTCGAGGTGGCAGCTGTGCAGATGCTGTAACTTCTTCCCAGCCCTCATTCTCACGCACATGCACACGCGCAGAAATCCGCCCGGTGGGGAGTGCTGTTCAGAACACACCTACCTGCCTGGCTTTGCGGACAGCCTCTCCTGCTCAGCACGTCCTCCACGGAGCTCTCAAACACAAGGTAGACATTCTGCAGCAAGCCCTGCGTGACAGGAGGAACACGGGGATGGCGGACCACGCAAGGAGGCCACCCCACGTGGGTGACGTGAGAACACGAGGCCTCTGGACATGGTGTTTCTGAGCCTTCACACAGGCGCGGCCTGAAGGCTGTCCTGAGCTGTCCTGGCCAGGGCCTCCGTGAGAACAGCAGCCTTAGTGCCCGGGAGACATCTGCTGGTCCAGCACAGACACAGCGAGATTAGTGCCCCCACAGCCCGGTGTCCGTGCCTCAGCCCTGGGCAGCTCAAGCCACGGGAGCTTCTCACCCCAGTCCTGACCCTGACCATGACCCTTGGCCTGGCCACCAGAGATTGACCTGGTAACCTCTGTAGGCCTTTTACTCAGATGACCGGGTGAAGCACACACTTATTTCCAAGGAGCACAGTGTCTGGAAGAGACGGGCCCGCTGGCTCCATCGTGGTCCTGGCGCCCGTGGCTTAGAAAGACCCCCTTCCCGGAGGCGTTTAACTGAGACGCACTCGGTGTCGCTCCCTGCCTTTCCTGAGGAAAACAGCTGTTCCCGGCCTCCCGTGGTGTCAGTGATGAGGTGGCTCTGGGAGGGGCTCAGCACCGTGAAGCTGGCCTGGGTCCCGAACACTGGGTCAGATCCCTCGATCACATGAGCCTTCGTGCTGTTTGTGCAACTAGGAAAGGCCACCTGCAACACCGCTCTGCTCATGCCTGGCATTGTGTTGTGTGTGATGTCTGTGTGAACACCTGTGCATGTGTGTGTCATGTTTGTGTGTATAGGTGTGAACATGTGCGTGGGGCTGGTGCTTGTGTGTGGCTGTGTGCACAGGTATTCATGTGGGTGTGCATGAGCACATGTGGTATTGAAGCGGCTGTACATGCCTGTGCATGCCCATACGTGTGTGACTGTCCCCGATGTGTGCACATGTGTGTACACGCGTGTGTGCACATGCCTGACCCACTCCGACTCAGGCGTTGTACCAGGAGACGCCGCACCGTCAGCTCCCCCAGCCCCGGCGCCTCGCGGCTCATACGCACCCGGAAGTGGCTGTCGCGGGCGGAGCCTTTGGCCACGTACATCCTGCTCTGGTCCGTCTCCAGCTGCTCGTAGAAAGGCTCGTCCAGCGCGAAGCTGTCGATGAGGGCGCAGCCCACGTGCAGGCTGAAGGTCTCGCCCGCCACCTGCACCGTGACGTTCTTCCACTGGGCGTCGGCCAGGCCCACGTCCTCCAGGGACAGCACGTGCTGGGCGCCGTCCGCCCAGTAGGCGAGGTCCAGCGTGTCGGCCGGGCCGTTGGAGACCAGCTCGAACTGCCGGTGGGCGCCGGGGCCCTCGAGGGCCAGCAGCGTGCCCCGCGACGCGCGGTCCTGCCGCAGGCTGGCCGTCAGGAAGAAGCCCTCCCGCTGCCGCATGAGCCGGGCGATGCGGCCCAGCTGGCCGGCGCTCACCGGCGGGATGTAGTCGAACCGCACGAAGCGGTAGGCCGGCACGTGGGGGTCGGGGCCCCGGAACTGCTTGGCCCCGATGGTCTTGCGGTTGATGTTGCTGATGCTGAAGAGGTTGAAAGCCGTGTCCTCATCCTGGTCACCGGCTGCCCGAGGGAGCGAGCAGAGTTACGGCCGTGGGGCAGGGGCGTCCTTACGCGGTGCAGGTGGGTTTACCGTGCCAGAAACCGAGGCCACCGACACCGGGTCCCCTTCCCTTCCCTCCCCACGGGGCAGTGCTTCTGTGGAGCCTCAAAGGGGTCCCCAAAACAGCTGGCCCGCTTGATGGGCCAGCATATCACCAACGACCTCACTTTGTCCAGCCCCCGCCCCTCAGGTGACCTCTGGTCCCCAGCGCAGGGCCGGCCAGACTCACCCTGGGCTCCGCAGGAGGCCCAGAGGGCCGGCAGGACCAGCGCCCAGAGCATCCCGCCGCGGCTGCCGGCGCCTGCAGACATCAGAGCGGTTAGTGACTGCAGACGGTGCGGGCCCCGCCTCCCGCTCGGTGACAAGAAGTCAGGGTGGTGGCCACCGCCAGCGGCGTGGAATGCTCGTTAGGAGCCGTCCTGACCGTGTGCGGGAGGTGAGGCGGGGAGGGCGTCCTCGCCCGCGCCCGCTCAGGGGGGCCGCCGGGACCTGCGGAGGGATGGTCTAGAGGAACGTCAGTGTGCGGCGTGCGGAAATCCCCAAGACAACGGCGCTATGCATAACTCCTTAAACACAGCAAGCGCACCGCGCGCTGAGGAGTGAGCGAGTGGAGTGCCGTAATTCAGAAACCAGTCACGCGCCTTGGACGCGGCCCCTGGCTGGCGCCGGCCGCAGGCTGTTTTTCCCTTCCCGGGGTTGTCGGTTGGCCGCCTCGGCAGAGGCCGGGCCAGGAGTCAGGAGACCTGGCGGCAGCGGCGGCTGCAGTTAACCCCGCCGCCTCCCGTCCCAGGTCTGCTCCTTGTCCCGGAGGGGCTGGGCACCCAGGCCCCCCTCCTGCACGGCCCCGGCCCTGAGCCCGATTTCTCTCCGGGCAGGGCTGCCGAGCGAGGTGAGGTCTCGGTGCTGAAGCCCAAGCAGCCGCCTCTATAGAAATTCTCAGCATCCCCGTCTCTCCGGGACACACACACACACACACACACACACACACACACACACGTCTGCTTTACGCCGTCAGCCCCCAGGAGTCGGAGCCTGGCCATGGGAGGCAGCACCGGGGACGGAGAGCCCGGGCAGCGGGCCTGAGCAGAGCCTCTGAGCGGGTCCCCGTCTGCAGGATGGGAAGTCGCCCTTTAGCGTGCCTGCCTGTCAGCGTGTGAGGAGTGTGTGCAGTGGGTATTGGGCACACGGCCACACGCACCTGGACACGCCCTGGGATGGCCCGGGCAGTGGCCGTGAGCTATGGCAGCGGGCTCCTAGGCGGATTGGGGGACCAGAGCAAATGCCGTGTCCGCGCCGCTCAGGACGCCACCCGACAGTGGTCCACGCTGCCGGCCGGCCCTGCGCCCCCCCCCCCAGGTGCCCCCGCCCCACGGACAGCGGTGAGGCTGCCCATCCAGACGCGAACGACACTCCTGGGCCGGCTCCGAGTCCGGGCTTGCACAGAGGAAGGACCCTGTGCTCCCTGAGCAGTGCGCCTGCCTGTCGGCCACGTGGGAGCCAGGGTCTGTCTCACGGGGTGGAGACAAGCGCCACCACACCTGGGGCACGGCGCCCGCGTCAGAGCAGCTGCTCCCTCCGCCCTCCCAGCAGAAGTGACCATCGGAGCGGCGACCTCCCTGTCGGTGCCGAGACCCAGGGCTGCGCTCGGGCCCCTGCCCCAAACAGCTGCCGGCCGCCCGGCTCCTCGCCCGCCTCCCAGCCGCCCGGCACCTGGCCCGGCTCCTCACCGGGCCTCGGAAGCCGCTCCTCGGCGGCCGGAGTCTGTTCCTCCGATTGTCCTCATTCTCAGGACTGGTCCCCTAACTCCTTCCCGGCTCTCGCTCTGCCCGTCCCCGGCAGGACGTCCCTGACACCACTCGGGAGGGGACGCAGGTGCCGGACAGGCCGAGCCAGCCGGCCCCGGTCCCTCCTGACAAACCGCGGGCACGGGCGGCCACGTCCACCTCCCCCACCCACGCCCCCCCTTCCCTCACCGGTCAGCAGCGTCTTCTCCAAAAACCAGCCGGCGGTGAGACAAGCCCTACCGGGGAGAGGGGCGGCGGCGGGCTGGCCGGCGGGGCGGGGCGGCGGGCCGGGGCGGGTGGCCGGGGCGGGCGGCCGGCAGCTGACGAGTGGGGGGCACACTGGCCTCCGTGGCGGCTCTGCTTTATATGCTCCGTCTCCGCTTAATTCATTCCCTCGAAGAATGACATAATCCCTCCTCCTCCGACCGCAGAGGAGGGGCCAGGCGGCTATAAATAACCAAATACCCGGAGGAGGGGCGTCTCCGCCCGGGCACTGGCCCTCCTCACTCCAGAAGCCGTCGGGGGAAGCACAGGCGAGGGTGCAGGGCCTGGGCGGCACGCCCTCGCCACGGCGGAGGACCGGTCACAGAGGCACTGACGCTCCTGCCTGCCTGGGTGGCTGAGGGAGGGTCGAGAGCGCTGATCTGTGTCCGACCCGGCTTCCTGCGCTCGTCCGGCCCGGCCCTCCGCTGTCCACACCTGACGGGCCCACTGCCCCCCCCCCCCCCCAGGTCCCGGCGCGGCAGGCAGCCTGCCGGGCGGTGGTGCCGAGTAGACACGGGAGAGAAAACGGTGGCAGCAGCCAGGCTGCCTGCCATTCCCGGAGCTCACATCCCAGCCGGGGCGGGCAGGGGAGGGAGTGGGGTCGGCTGCAGGGTCTGCGAGGGGGAGGGGGCAGGGCTCTGGGCACCTAGGGAGACACAGCGGGGGGGGGGGGGTGGAGTAGGATTGGGGCTCCGGGCGCCTGGGGGGGACACACAGCAGACACGGTCTGGGTCTGGGGAGGGGGGTAGGAGGGGGGCTCTGGGCGCCTGGGGGACACGCACAGCAGACACGGTCTGGGTCTGGGGGGGGAGTAGTAGGGGGGCTCCGGGCGCCTTGGGGAGACACAGCGGGGGGGGGAATAGGAGGGGGGCGCCGGGCGCCTGGGGAGACACAGCGGGGGGGGGAGTAGGAGGGGGGCGCCGGGCGCCTGGGGAGACACAGCGAGGGGGGGGGGAGTAGGAGGGGGGCGCCGGGCGCCTGGGGGACACGCACAGCAGACAGGGTCTGGGTGTGGGGGGGGGGTAGGAGGGGGTTCCGGGCGCCTGGGGAGACACAGCGGGGGGGGGGAGTAGGAGGGGGGCGCCGGGCGCCTGGGGAGACACAGTGGGGAGGGGGGAGTAGGAGGGGGGCTCCGGGAGCCTGGGGAGACACAGTGGGGAGGAGGGAGTAGGAGGGGGGCGCCGGGCGCCTGGGGAGACACAGGGGGGGGGAGTAGGAGGGGGGCTCCGGGCGCCTGGGGAGACACAGTGGGGAGGGGGGAGTAGGATTGGGGCTCCGGGCGCCTGGGGGACACACAGCAGACAGGGTCTGGGTCTGGGGGGGGGGGGGGTAGGAGGGGGTTCCGGGCGCCTGGGGAGACACAGCGGGGGGGGGAGTAGGAGGGGGGCGCCGGGCGCCTGGGGGACACGCACAGCAGCAGGCCAAGCTGCCGGTCGAGGCCGGGTAGAGCCTCTGTGAGGACTCGCTCCTGCCCCAGCCTGGAACGGGCTGCAGAGTGTGGCTGGGAACTGCCTCCCGCACCCAGTCCGTCGGTGGGGGGAGGGGTGGCGTGGGAGGAGGAGGATGCTGTTCTGTCCTCGTGTGGAGACCACGTTGACTGATCACAGAGAAGAGCACGTGAGCTTCCAGGGACGGGACGGGACGGGACGGCGGGACCTCAGGAACTGGGAGCCCTCAGCCCCAGGGGAACTGTGCGCCCAGCTTCCCGCCAGGCTGTCGGGTGGCTGTCTGTTCACTGCTCTTGCTCATGGGTTGGCTGCTCCGTGGCTGGAGGTGGGTTCGGCGTCTTGGGCAGCCAGAGGAGCCTGTGCACATCCTGCCTGCGTCTGTGTCCCCCACACGCGCCGAGCACAGAGGGAGATGTAGGCACCCGTTCCCCCACCACCACCCTCCCACCCTCAAGCATCCTGAGCCCTAGGCCACGCGGCCGCATGCTTACAGGCGACTGGAGGAGGCAGGACTGGGGCCAGTTGGTCATTCCACAGTGGGGGATACGGGGGGCTTGGGGGAGAGGCGCCAGCGGGCCCAGGCCGCGCCCGGGAAAGGGGCCGGCACCGAGCAGAACCAGACCTGCCTGGACCTGGCCTGCGAGGGGTCAGCGCGGCCCCGTGAGAGGGACGGCCGGGCAGGGTCCCCGGCTTCCCCGGGACAGCGGGTGCGTCCATGAGCCACAGGGCCGGAGGCGCCCGGGGCAGCCGAACTCGCCGAGTCCACAGAATCGTCCGGCATCGGTGTGCAGGGGGGGAGGGGCCTCAGGCAGGTCCGTGCTGGGGTGAATCCCATCCCCCCAAATCCTGTCCGCCCAAACCCCGTGGGCTCAGCCACCCGAGCGGGAGACCCAGGGCCCAGCCGTTCTCTCGTCCGTCGCACTGTGTGCCTCTCCCGACACCCGGGAAGCCCAGCAGTTGCACTGGAGGTTCTGGAAGCTTCCATCCTCGTGGGCATCGTGTCTGAAGTGGTGGGTGCAGCGCCGTGACCCATCAAGACCAGCTCGGTGGCCCCGGCCGTGCCCACAGGCACCCTTGGCCGTGGCAGAGCCGTCGGGCATCGTGGTCCAGCCTGAGCGTCTGGCCAGGAGCCACGTGACGTGGGCCACGGGAGAGGAGCCGGACAGGAGGGGCTGGGACAGGACTGGCACCCAAGCCGGCCACCAGCGTCCGGACGGCGTGGACAGGGCGTTGGCCCGGAAACTTCCCCAAGGCCCAGGCCGGGCCACGCAGCTCTTGTCGGGGGAACGGGGCCCCGGCTCGTCGCAGGAGGTGAGGAGAGAAGTCTTCAGCTCAGGCAGCCCTCCCGCGGGCGCGCAGGGCCACCTGGGGTAGGGGTCCCCCCTCGGGCACCCCGGGAGCTCCCGCAGCGACCGCGTCCCCGATGCCGGCCGTGCACAGCAGGAAGGAGGGCCTCGGAGCTCCGGACCGACCGACGGGAAGGGCTTTGTGGCTTCCACACTTTGGGAATGGAACCCGGAGGAGGGGTGAGGGCCCTGCTCCCTCCTGCCCCCCCCCCCGCCGCCCCCCAGGAGCAGGGGCTACACAAAGGGGCGCTGTTCGCCGTCGCTCCGACCGTGGGCGCAGGGCAGTGTCAGCAGGTGGACAGGCAGGCACGGCTGAGTTAGAGAACGAACGAGCTTTCACAGACGGAGGCAAAGAGCAGAGGGCCAGGCGGGCGGAGTGGAGGGAGAGAGCCTGCCTGCTGGGAGGTGGGCCCCGGACGGACGGCGGTTCCCTGTGGGA